CCCTGAACCCTGAACCCTAGATCTTGTGCAGGCTGCAGGACCCCCAATGGCGGCCTCGGCTCCCGCTTACGTCTTCCCCGTCGAGCCTTGATCGAAAGTGTAGCCTTTGGGCGGTCAGGGTCGAGTAGTCGAGGGTTTAGGGTTTAGGGTTTCGGGAGCATCCTGGGATTTGATGTTGGGCCTTGATCCTGGACACCGCAAACCTTGTGGCCTCTGTAAGGAGCTGGACGATGGGCGTCGCAGTGAGATCTCTTGGTGCAGGGGTGACGACCACGAGAAGGCAGGAGAAGTGATGTGCAGAGCTCTAGAGCTGTCCACTGGCTTTGGGTCTTCTGAGCCTTAAATTGGCCTTAACTTCTCTTTCATCACGAGGATCGGTAATGTTGTCAGGAGGCTTGTGGACCCTTAGATTGCAGGTACGGGTTGAGGATCCAGAGTTTGCGACAGCTCGGTTATGCTCGGTTTGACTTCCCATTGCTCCCAGGTGGCGCGTGACTTCGTGGCCGCGAAGGGATACCCAGCGGACAACATTCCCACGATTATCAGCTTCCTGAAACACGTCGAGCAGGTACGGGTCAGATATGGGCACTCTTAGCTGGGTTGAGGGGATCCGGGAGTGATCCAGGAATTACGGTAGCATGGATTGGGTGACTGCCTTCCCCCTCGGAGCCTCACAATACCTCAATCCTAAACGCCAAACCCGATGGACCCTAACTCTCAACCTCAAAGCCCAGAGCACTAAACCGGCCCTTATCCTCGAGAGCTGGAAAGGTGGTTCCTGTCGTTTCCAACCGTGCCCCCGAGCCGGTCGCAACGGCACCGGAGCCCATGGCGCCTTGGAGAAGTATTCGTGGAAAGACGGTTCAGGTTTAAGTTTTCAGGGCTTGGGGTCTGGGGTTCAGGTTTCAAAGCTTGAGGTTTTGGGACGTTTGGGGGTTATTGCAGCTTCGGGTTCGGTTCGGTGGTTAGGGTTCAGGGTTTCGCTTAAGGTTCACCAAAGCGGCATACAGCCGCAAAGCATGGCACTGGTCTCCGAGCACGATTCGTTGGGCTTAGGGCTTAGGGTTGTAGGGTTTTGAGGATTTTGGGACGTGACGGTTCAGGGTTGACTGGTCTCCAGACAGCTCAAGCCGCCAGGTTTGATGAAGTGCTTTGGGCAGCTGACAAAGTAGCGATCTCCCACGGAAGCTTCTGATGCTTGCAGCATTAGGGCCCCAGGTTCCGAGCATGTGCCTTTGATCAAGAGTGGTTAGTCTCGCTTTTTCGCAGTTCGTGTGGAGGCTCGTGGACTGAGAGAACTTGCGTAGGATTCCAGGTGGGATAGTTGTAGCAGCTGGGAAATCATGAGAATCTGAGAATGCTTATACTTCCATGATGACCCCGAATTCGTTTCGACATTCCTGGGCCGAATGTGGTCCCCTGGTGTATAGGAGCACGGAGCATACTAGTGATCCTTGACTCATGGTCGATTCCTGGTCCTTCCAGACGGTGTCTACACTGAGCCCGGAAGTTGAAGAGTCCACCGAAAGATCTCCGGATGGAAGAAGCTGCTTCAAGGCCGTGGATGACTCCAAGACCCTTCTCCAAGAGCAGGCTGGCTTTGATTCGGTTCCAGGGTTTCTTGACAGGCGGAGTGACGGAGGCAGCACCTCCCTGACTATGATGTTTGTACTGTGTGAAACAGCCTGAACGGCCAGGAGGGCAGCAAAGTCACAGCCCGAACAGACATGGGAGGGATGCTAGTACAGTAGCCTTGAGACGGAAGCAACAACCCATGCTGTAGCAGGAATAGTCATACCAGTTTAACAGAGCAGTGGAGGAGGATTGGGGGGAGTAGTTGAGAAGTAGAAGCAAAGGTGGAAGACAAAGATGACGTAGCAGTAGTAGTAGTAGTAGTCGTCGTCGTCGTCGTCGTCGTCTTAGTAGCAGTCGCAGTTGCTATCGTAGTGCCCGGCGCCCGGCAGATCCAGCAAGTGCGCGAGATGGGCCTCGGAGCTTTCTACAGCGACACCTGGCTCTGGAGTTTTAGAGGTTCCAGCGTCACTTAGCGAGCCTGCGGAGGGCTTTGTGGGTTTGTTTTTGTGGTTACGAATTTGAAGTAGACCTTGCGGTTGCTTATCGAGTGTCATATGCTTATAGCTCCATGTCAGGAGAATCCTGACATCGAAGAATTTTAAACTGGAGGCTTATACCGCTGAGGAAGCCAAGACAAGCTGCTGTTGCCATTTGCTGGCTCGGTCTTTGCCGCACGATTCTTGAAACCATAGGCCTAGGCCTTGAACGGAAAATCCGGAAGGCGAATGCAGCCGGCGGGAACCCACAAGCTCCACTGAAACAATACAGAGTGTACGATTCAGGCTGAGGCCAAGCCTTCCGGGCCACCTTGACCTTCAATCCTAGACCCCCCAAAAAGCAAAAAACTCAAAGACCCCGACACACTAAACGATTGGCCTCACTGGGATTTCATGAGCCCGTAGTCATGCACTCTCAAGCCTATAAGCCACCCGCGAAACAACTGGCACCCGTGTGAAACTTTATCGGATCCTTGACCAGTAGCTCTCTCGCCTGAGTGTAAGAGCACCCTAAAATCTCCCAGGGTCTCGGTCCCATAGAGCAAACTGCAAGCCCTCAACCCCACACCCTGAAGTCGACGCCTTACACTCTAAACTGCACTACTACTACTACTACTACTACTACTACTACTACTTCTTCTGCTACTACTACTACTACTACTACTACTACTACTACCACTACTGCTACTCCTACCTGCTACTGCTACTATTGCTACTGCTGCGACGATGTGGGTAGTGTTATGTACATGGACGGCCCAGAACGATGACCTCGAGGAGTTGTTGAAGCGCTTCGAGGGTGGCTCGGCCAGGGTACAAGGTCGGCTTTGAGTTTATGGGTTGAGTTGTTTCAAAATATTTTGGGTTGATGGTTGTATTGGAAGATTAGAGGTTGTATGGTCTTTTTAGTGTTTTATAGGATCGAACAGGGTTTTGGGCGGTCTTAGTGTGCAACAAGGGTACACGCTCGCAGCCTCTCACCCCAAACTCCGAGACCTAAACCGTAAGCCATGAGCCTTTGACTCATGATCCTGCAGGCCCAAGCTAATCCAAAAGCCTTAGCCTAAACCTAAGCAGATGAAAGGTTCAAGGACTCAGCGATCCCGAGGCAATGTACAAAAAGTTGTGGAGCACTTGCTTGCCATCGAGCAGTAGTGAGGGGAGGCCCTGCCTCCTCAGAGAAATCCGTGGACAGAAGGACCGCTCTTGTAGCCGGCGACGCGTGCATGTCAAGAAGACGCCCCAAGCGCTGCCTAGGAAGCCTGGACTCCCCTTGCACGAAGCAGCCACATTACATGGCGATGGTCTGGATTGGCAGTTTCGACGTTTCGTCAACTTGCAAAGATTAGGTCAGCGACCTGGATCTCACGACGCAGGGTTTGTGGCTTTGGGAGTCCATGCGTGAGGGTTCAGTAGGGGACCTGGTCAATAGTAGTTTTGCAAAATCTCAGGACATAGATGTAGATGAACAGGCGAACATCCCTAAACTTCCCTAATCCACCAAGTTCTTCAAAAACGTAGCTGCGCGCAGCCCCAGGGGGCGGTCCTGTCGGATTTCCACCGCTTCGAAGGGTGACCCCTTGGCACGTAGCGCGGACCAAGCCGTCCGGAGTTGCTTCAAAAAGTCGGTGCTTGGGGCTGCCGGTTCAGGGAAATGGGTTGCGGAGGGTCGTGGAGGTGTCGGATTTTTTTGAAAGATTCCGTGTCCTCAGGTTCTTTGGTGGAATCTTGAAAGGGCCTGGGGCAACGTAGCATCTTATGTTGTTTGGCTGAACGAAGGCCCGAACTCCTCTAAGGGCCTCCAGCCAGGCAGCCCTAGCCCTCGTGTCGACGTGGTCTTCTCCGGGTTTCAGGGTTTACTGGTTGAAGGTTTAGGATCTGTAGGGTTCGGGGTTTGGGATGGAAGGAGGGTTCTGCGAGAGGTCGCTGACATGGCCGACCTTGCCCCAGACTGGGCCGAGGCCCCCACCACTGAGACCTTTCAGATTGTAGAATCCGGGGTTCTTAGAGGTTTTCATGGACTTGTCCGGGATTTCATAGAGATCTATACATGTTTGAACGGGGCTTCTGTCTGAATCAGAGTTTCCTGAAGCGTCGCAGAGAATCACGAACGCTCGTAGAGTATGGATTCCGGAAGGGTTGTAACCCGAAACATCACCGACCAGGGCTGCAGAATTCTTAGACGAGAGATTCTGCCCCGCAAGCGCAGTGTGCAGTCAAACGTTGCTGTCGCCACAGTCCCAACCCCAGACAAGAAATTCTAGCACCGCCCAGCACCCAAACTGCAGAAGCACTGTGGAGAGGCGCATGCAGCTGAAGTGGAGGCCGGTGAAGTGCGGGGTACACCTTGTGGTATCTGAAGCTCGTTCTGAACATCTTCTAACGGGCTGATGTTTGCACACAGGTTGCTTTCGTGTTATCCTACTAGGGCAGTGTGGATATGTCTTGTTTTTCATTCGTGTTCCACTGCTCCGTCGTTTTCCTGCTCTTCTTCTTTTCCTTATTCTTCTGCCTCTCCTTCTGCTGCTTCTTCTCCGTCTCTTTGCAGTTGCACACCGCCGCTCCATTCTTTCCCTGAGGCCCTTCGAGCCGAAGCTCAAATTCCATACCGTGGTCTTGGACCCCGAGACTTCTTTGAGACTTCCCAGGCTTTTGTGCTCGTATTGCTTTGGATGTGACGGTTTTCAAGCTTGCAAACTCTGCCCAACTGCAAGCTGCAAGCCGTAGCTGTTACATTTTCCTTGGGAGGTTTTCGGGGACGCGTGCTTCCGCAACCGCTAGGCTGCATCGGACCCGTCCAAAGCTGACGAAGCCGAGCAGGTGCCTGCTGTTGCACAGGCTTGGATGTTCGTAGGTGGCCGATGGTTGAGGGCTGATTGCAGAAGCCGGGCGAAGTTTGGTGGTCTGGATGTTTGTCGCGGTATTCGAGCCCGCATGCGCTGGAACCTGGGACTGGGCACTAAAAGATTTTCACCGGAGGCTTTGTCTGCACAGACACCCATCTACGATTTGTTGATCAGTGTCGTTATCATTATCAGCCAGGGTCTCAGTCCTCTTCTGTCTTGTGGCATCCTGGATCCTGAACATGGCTTTAAACTTCCGTGTGACCCCGATCTCCTGGCGTGGGGTAATTTTTTCCTTGCGCTTTGCGGTGGTGGCTCTGGCGTTGGAGGCGGTCGAGACGGCACCCAGCAGCCTGAGTAATGCTAACGACGTGCAGACCTGAGATCAGCCGCGTGCAGAGACGGGTTTCGTCCAATACAGTTTGGGCTTCTTTCAAGATCTCAAATGGCAAGTTCCTGAAGTTATCAGGTCGAGCTTTCAACACATTGAAAGCTCAACGTAGTTTTCGCTATGTAATGAGAGTTATCAGTCTTGTTGCTGTTGCACCTGCGACTACTGCTGCGATTCCTAGTTCTAGTTTGCTCGTGGTCTTCTTCTTCGTGCATTGCTTTCTTCTCGAGTGCGGTGTCATCTCGGGACCAGCTGGCCACATCTGGATCCCTGCACTGCGACATGTTCTCGCAGATGAGAAAAGTAGAAGATCGGAGACCACGAATCCCACCTCCCTATCGTTATTCCGTTATCATATATCGAAAAGCAGTGCGTCTGGATGTTCGGCATCGTAGATCCAGGCTTCTGCGAATGTGCGCGCGGAAGACGTGCGAGAAGACAAGGCTCCGGTGTGGCTGCAGTTCTTAGTCTCGTTTTTACCGTTGTCATTATGGTTATGCTTCTTCCGATGTCTCTGCTATCACCTGTTCACTAGTTTTCACACATCAGTGCAAGCAGGCCCCGTTAGAGCATCCTGAACGCGAACCCTCGAGGAAAGCTAATTCAGTCGCTCCGCAACCGCAGCTTGAGGATTCCCCGGCAGCGTCCAAAGGTGACGGTGGCCTCCGGGAAGAGGTGGGGTTCACAAAGGTCCCGAGTTCAAAAGGGAAATCCGATGCTTCGGGCTTTACGACTGTCAGGTAACTCGAGCCGACGCTACGGTCGCAAGCACTCCAAATCCCGTTACTGAGGATTCAGGAATACTGCCCAACTCAGGAACACTGCCGTCTTTGGGGAAAGGAAGCATGTCAGTAGCTTCTTCCACCAGATTATCAGAAGGGGCTCCTGCTTTGAGGCTTGTGTGGTGTTCGTGGGTTCGTGGGTCTGGCGTGGAGAGTTCATCAGGTTTCAGGGCCTGCTGACGCTTTGGTGGACCTCGCAGTCTTGAAGCACCCTGTTGAGGGGGAGGTCTACAAGTTTGAGAGAGGAAGCTTCTGTAAGAAGAAGCTGGGTAGCGAGTTTTGCTGCAAGGCTCTTGGATCCGGTGTATGGTCTGCTTTCAAAGTACCAACCCGGCCCCTTTTTTCGGCCCTGTACTGCGTGACCCGAATCACATGAACTCACAGCGGGGCGCTTGAATTGTAAGACTACGTGATGGAAGGCCGCAAGACCCATTAGACACAGGAAGCACATGTCTTGTGTGCTTTGACAAGGGACTTCGTCCAGTATCCTTCTCACCCGAAAGACCGAAAGCCCAACACTTCCTCAAAGCTTGCCCTGACCCCTTCCTCCGACAGAGGGCTCCGACTCGGATGCCCTGCAGCTCGATGGTGCGGGCGAGGCCTTGGCATTCAGCGAAGAGAGCCTCCTTTCTGTGCGATTGTCCCGGTTTAGCGTGTAGAGCATTGGATAACTGGATTCAGGACATAGTGCTGACGCGACAATGACAGGAAGTTGATAGATAGGCCGTGGCACAGCAGTCTCTCGATGCAGGCGGAGGAGGAGTAGTAGTTTGCACAGCCGCCGTCGCCGCCGCCGTGGTGGTGGTGGTAGTAGTAGTAGTAGTAGCGACGACGACGACGTACCCTAAAAGCCTTATCATACAAGAGACATTCCCTCAGACCGAAGCCCTAGTCCCTGCACCGTATTTTTCAATAAATCCTTTGTCAGAATGAAACAGCAACCCTACAAGAGCCCTTTGAGAATCTGTAAAACCCTGGTAAAGCCGTTTTAACCATTAGAGTCATCAGAGTCCCATAAGAACTGTCTGAACCCCGAAAAGAACCCTACGAGCAAGCGCACTCCTAAAGAGAACTCCAAAACGCTAAACCTCCAAAGCCTAAGTCCTAAGCTAAACTTTCCCAAACCCTCAACCCCCTATCCGAGACCAAGCCCCAAAGCGATAGGTGGCCTCAGCTCTGGCAGCGATGATGTCTGCCGTCGGTGGCCTCCAGAAGTCGATTGGATCCTTGGAGGCCCTTTTTCGCGGCCTTGTTTTTGCTTAGAAGAGGGGTGGGGTGCGGTGAAGAGATTTTGGAAGAACTTTTGGTTTTTGGTGCCTCCTGCGCAGGAAGTGGAGCTCCCCATCGACAGCGCGCCGCTTGCGGTGGAGGAGAAGGCCCTTGCTGGGAGCATGGAACGCAAAAGGTCTCTCGTTCAGGGTCCAAGGTGGACGGAACTCCAAGACCCCTCACATCCAGAACTCCCAGAATTGCCGGGCTGTGTCGGAGCTTCGGAGACACCAGGGTGACGGAGGAGGACCTTCGTGATAGGTGGCGCGTCAGCCACACCTCTCAACACCCGCAGAAAACGGTTTGGAGGACTGGATGCAGTTCACTTGGTGCCGACACAACATGGGTCACACACAGCTGTTCGCTTCCGAGGGTCGGAATCAACGGCGCCAAGATTCTTGTCGACGCTCGTGCTTCGGGACGTTGCTCGGATACGTGCTGAACTGCAGACCGCACAGAAATGTTCGCGTAGGGGACATGCGGCTGATAACGGAAGGATGGCCGGGTGGCACGGAGCCGGACTAGAGCTCCGCCAGGAAGTTTTTTGCTACAGATCCACTTGACCCCGAAACCACACTTTGTTCAACATCTGGCTATTGAGACCTACTGCACGAAGGGCTCCCAGCCAGCCCCACCTTCGACGTACAGCAGCTGTGTCTCCAAACCCAACGAAGCACCAAACGCCGCCCAGGGTACTGTCTTTCAACTCTGATCCACAGCTTGCTATGAGGGTGTGCAGGAGCTTGCTGGTTCTATGGAGTTCGAGCAGCCCTAACATCCAAAATTTTTAGGCTGGGCAGGTGAGCTTTCACGTCCTTGGGTGTGAATGAGTACATGACTAAGTATGCAAACACATAAGTGAGCACATAAATATCCAAATAAAGAGAGATATATAAATTGGTACATATAAAGATATATGTATATCTGTATAATTATATATATATATATATATATATAAATATATATCACTCACCATAATATTAGAAGATTAGCGATCTGGCTAAGTGTTACCCAGATGGCCGTGTGTGCGTAGTTTGCATGTCGTGCGCAGTAGGAGGCTGCATCTAACAGCATCATCCACGAAGAAGCAGTGACTCTCTGCATGAACTTAACACGCTAGAACGTGAAGCCGCCTTGATTGTTGTGTCGTGAGCGACGAGGATGATAGACCTGCGCCTGGCGGTGTGGCTGAGGCACCAACTGTCTTTTCGTAGGTTCGGAGTGTCGTCAATTACTCTTTGATCAGATACCAAGCCTCCAGATGCCACCCGCCTTCAAACCTGAGACTTTGGTGTAGCACCTGCTGCCTTGGAGAATGCAGCCTGCAAAAGCATCTGTAAAGCAGAACCATGTTTAAGTTCTGCTCGAAGCCTTGCAATGTTGTGTGATGACATACTCGCACCTGACGTTCGGTGGAATGGCACGAGAGCATTCTGGGAGCGTTGCGCGAGTTCAGTTTCAGGGGCTGGCTCGGCCGAGGGGTAGGGATGGGTCGGCCGGTTAAGCAGCGAAGAAGCAAAGTACGGGAGATGGTGAAGGGCGCGTGTGGGTTGGGCACCATGCCGGTCTGTAGTAATGAAAGCATCCCCCAGCCAGATCCTTGCCGGGCTGAATGCAGCGATGGGTCCCGTGAGAGAGGAGGTGCAGAGACGTCGTTCTGCGGGCTTCATCGGATTTTGACTTGGAGTTGGTGAAGGGCAGCTCGGAATCATCACTGACGTACCATATGAGACTTTGCCCATCAGCACATCGTACGGTAGTTTACGACTAGTGTCTCATGTTCATGTCACCTCATTAGATACGGTAGTATTCTGATGTGTGCTGTCTTGCAACGAATTACAAGACTTTATGCTTTACTTCACCGTGTTGAAAAGCAAGTATCACATCAGCTCGCTTCATATTGTATTGTATCGTATCGTGTCATTTCGTAAGACAGTAGATCATATCGAAACATTTTACGTATTTCTTATGGAATGTCAGATTTGTCTATCCTACGCTTTAACTAACACTGTACTATAGTTTACCATCTTGCCTCTTGTCTGTGTGCTGCGCATGCCTTCATTGCACCAGTTAGCGCAACTATATTGGAAGATGTGATCGTCATGTCATGCCAGTCCTTCGCGTCGCAGTTCTTCAAGTCCCATTCTGCGATCCAAGCATGCGAGTTCCGAGTTCTTCGTTGCAGTGCTAACATGCAAAGGCCAGATTCGAAGTCTCGAAGCCTGCAGCCCCAATCCCGAAGATACCCAGGCAGCTGGACCTGAGATGCAGAAAACTGCAATGTGGTTTCTTCCGTCGTTTTCAGGCGCCTGCAACACCGGCGCCCGCGGCAGAGCGCCTTGAAAGCACACCGTATTCGGGCGGACATTTTCCATGACTCGAGGGCTTCGAGTTTTCACGGAATTTCGATTGTTGTCTTCGGGGTGTGCCCGAAAGGGTTGGCTCAGGGGTCGGAAGGGGTTTTCGTAGCCCGGCACCTTCACCACCTACAGCTGCAGCAACGAGAGCAACACGAGCAAGCATTGTTCCAATCTCAGGCTCAGCAGCAACCACAGGTAGTGGCTTCCAAGAGTCTGCTTCCCTGTGAGGCAGGAGCTTTCTCTGGAAGAGTTGGAGGACGTATGTTTTGCGTTGTGGTTGGGGTTGTCGTTGTGGCTGCCATAATCGTCGTTTTGCTTCACGAGCCCTGGATGCCTTCCGTAACGAGTAGTTAGTGCCTACACTGCCGGCGCAGCCGCCGCTTGACTTCCGAGACTGGGGTCCATGCAGGGTGTTGGCTTCTGTTTTTGGTTAAGTTCGCTGCTTCGGGCTTCGGACTGCAAGAGTGGACCCCTCCATGCACACAGGTGTCCACATGCTTCTACCTCCCAGGCGAAGACTTTGGCGCATGCATCAAACCCCCCGTGACCCCAACTTAATATCGATACTAAAATCCGTCTTATCGGTTTCACAATTACATGAACTGTCTGTAAGGTTCTCCCGCTCCCCCCCGCGCCCGATCGCCGTTGCCATCATCAGCAGCGTCGTCGTCGTCGCCGTCGTCTTGTCGTAGGTTGTTGTCATCGTTATCAACATCTCCTGCTTTACTTTCATGGTTGGCTAGGCAGAATCCTTCTGTCTGTCGTCACAACACTTAGTTGTTTTGCTCAACCCATGCTTTTGATGGTATCTCCGGAGGACCGGGTGCTTCTGCAGAAGGTTCTGGTCAAGCAGCTTAGGTCGGATTACGAGGCGCGTTGCTTTTAACCGCCGAAAGCTGAAACATGGGTGGTTCAATGCACCGCCACATCTTGAACCTTTCAGGCTCCTGATCCCAAATTTGCCAGTAGAGCACTCACGCAGCAAGCTTCGCAACAAAAAGAAGTGACAATGGTATTCCTAGAAAGGCGCAGCACAACAGAACACTAACATTCTCACGTAGTACTGCTACTGCTGCTGCTGCTGCCGCTGCCTCTTCCTGCGGCTGCTGCTGTTGCTGCTACGACAGCTGCTGCCGCTGCTACTACAAACAGAAGCACCCTGTCAGTTCATGTCCTGGCATGGCCAGGGGTGAGGCCAGCCCAGGTGTATGGCTGCTGCTGCTGTTGCTACTAGTACTAGTACTAGTACTAGTGCTACTACTACTACTAAGCACCCCGGCTCAGCTGTGTCCC